TACTTGGGAGGCTGAGGCAGGAGACTCACTTGAGCCCAGGAGTTAGAGGTTGCTGTGAGCTGTGATGCCATAGCACTCTACCCAGGGGGATAGCTTGAGGTTCCGTCTAAAAAAAAATATGCCATAAAAAATACATCCTATAGTCTACCAAGGAGGGAGAGGAAAGGAGGGGGAGGGGAGAGGAAGGAAGAGCAGGGAGAGGGAGGAGAAGGGAGAGAAAAGAGAGGGAGGAGAGGAGGGGGAGGGGACCAGGAGGGAGGAGGATGATTGGCCGGATCTCACCTAATGTGCCAACTGCGAGGGTGTTCAACACACCCCCTGGGTGAAGGGTTCAACTACAACTTGAACTTTACCCTAGAAATAAAAATAATGTAATCTAAACATTTCTATCCTCGTATCAATCTGAATTTTTTTTAAAAAAAGGAATTTTAGGACCTTCACTTTATTGCAGGCTTCTTTGGAGATTAAAAAAAAAAGAAAAAATATATACATCCCAATAGGACTGAGGGAATGTGAGAGCCTTTACTACAGAAATGGTAGCAGAAATTGCATCTTCCACATACTTCCAGGCACTTCCTACCTGGGCACTGTGTTAAGCATTTTGCCTAGACTTCCTTTAATACACTAACTCCACTAAGTCAGAAATAATAATAACCCTAATAACAGAAATTATTTAGCTCATTTTACAGATGAGGAAACAGGCACAGTTTAGTGTACCTTGCCAAATGTCACAAAGCTAGCAAAGTGGCAAAGCAGGAATTCAAACCCCTATCAGCCTGTCGACCTCAGCTGTGCTCTCCTCACTACACTGTCACCACTGTCACCACTGTCACCACCGCTCCCTCATTCTGTGGTGTGGAGAAGCAATTTGTTTATTGCAGAAACAATTTCCCTTCATAACAAAACTCAAAGAAAGATTTCAGAACATGCAAAGTATAACGTTATATATGCAATCAGGAGAACAGAATAGAATAAAACAATTTCAATAATAATTAATTTCTTATTATTTTATTTTATTTATTTATTTATTTATTTTTTGCAGTTTTTGGCTGGGGCTGGGTTTGAACCCGCCACCTCCAGCATTTGGGGCCAGCGCCCCACTCCTTTGAGCCAGAGGTGCTGCCCTAAAACAATTTTAGTTAAAGAAAAATTCTTTTTTTTTTTTTTTTTTTTTTTTTGAGACGGAGCCTCAAGCTGTCCCCCTGGGCAGAGTGCTATGGCATCACACTCACAGCAACCTCCAACTCCTGGGCTCAAGCACGTCTCCTGCCTCAGCCTCCCAAGTAGCTGGGACCATAGGCGCCCACCACAACGCCTGGCCATTTTTTGGTTGCAGCCATCATTGTTGTTTGGCAGGCCCGGGCTGGGGATTCGAACCCGCCACCTTAGGTGTATGTGGCTGGCGCCTTAGCCACTTGAGCCATAGGCGCCGAGCCAAGAAAAATTCTTAATCTAGAAACAATGGGCATCCATCCTGACTATTTTCAGGTTAAAAGAAAAACAGATCATGAACACAATGACAACCTACTAACCAGATGGCTAGGCTTTATTGAGGCTTTCTGCCTCACTATGCAGAAATACATCTGTATGTACCTGCCTGTAAAACCAAGGCTCTTAACCACTAGTCCATTCAAAACCCTGAACACACTGCTAAGTTGGAAGCCCTATAGAGCAATGGACAACATGAGGAAAAGAACCACAAACACATAATTTTACTTTTGAAATAATTTAGATTAAAGCCACTATCCAGACGGGACAAAGGCCTTCAATTTTTAAAACTTACCAATAAGCCCCTTTGCAGTACTCGAAGCCACTGCTATGTGAGCGGGCACGGGGACAGGTTTGGTTTCCTCTGTGGTCACGGATGTTATGCTGCTGCTTTCAGCTTCAATGGAAACGTCCTTCCCACCCCTCCGCTTTATTGTGCCTGTGTCACCTTCTGAGTCTTCGCCCCAATAACCTGTGGAAGATGCCCAGCTTGCCCGGGACTGGGCTTGTTCAAGACTCTCTCTACTTTGATTTTGCCTGTTATGCTTTGTGCTATGATCAGAAAACATGATTTGGTCCATATGGCCGCTTGAGGCCCAAAACCCTGCAGGGCCCCCTGAATAATCAAAGTGAGTGTGCCCAAATGGAAGCGTCTCCCAGCTTCTCTGGTGCTGGATTGTCTGTATGTTGTCGTGGGAACCACTTGAGCATGATGTCCAGCTCCCACGGCCACTGTCAGCAGCGTCTAGTGAAGCACGGTCCCCCTGATCTTGGGAAAGTTCCTCTGTGCTTGGAGAAGAAATCACTGTGGCCGTAGCATATAAGCCTCGACTCTCCGACATTGGTGCATAGGACCTGTATGGTCAAAAGGAAAAAAAGGAAGGGGGAGGGAGGCAAGACTGTTAAATGAATTCACCAAAATATCATATTTTTCCCCCCTAACAAGATAGCTTTCTTTTATTTATTGGGTGAAAGCATCACCCAACTGCCTTATAGTGCTGAGTTCTGCCATGTCCAGTTTTCACACTTTGTCATCCCTACCTAATGAAGCATGGGGAAAAGAGTGACAACTCTCCATGAGAAAAAAAATCATTTTATCATAAAGACATTTGCACTAGATTGTTTATCCCAGGTCAATTTACCATTGCCAAAACATGGAAACAACCTAAATGCCCATCAACCCATGAATGGATTAACAAGCTGTCGAGTATGTATACCATGTAATAACACTGAGTCATTACAAACACGGGGACTTTACATCTTTTGTATTAATGTTGAATGGAGTTGAAACTCATTCCTCTTAGTAAAGTATCATAAGAATGGAAAAGCAAGAATCCAATGTACTCAACACTAACATGAAGCCAGTAGACAATCTACTGTAAACCACATAATAGAAAAATCAATTTGAGGTGGGGGGAGGGGAGCAAAGGAATAGGGAGGGGGAGGAGGAAGGGGGGGTACTTCTACTTAATGGGTACAATGTTACAGTGTATGGCATGGCCTCTTAGGGGTGGGACACAATTATAAGAGGGACTCTACCTAAAAAATGCAAACATTGTAACTTAATTCTTTTTTTTTTAATTAAATGATAGCCGTGTGCATTAATGCAATCATGGGGTACAGTGTGGTGTTTTCATATACGATTTGAAATATTTTCATACTCTCAAATTAACCTGAAATAATTTTAAAAAAGAGAGAGAGAGGAAAAAAAAAATTCTTTTTTTTTTTGCAGTTTTTGGCCAGGGCTGGGTTTGAACCCACCACCTCTAGCACATGGGGCCAGCGCCCCACTCCCTGAGCCACAGGAACCACCCGAAAAAATTTTTTTAAAAGTGTTTTTTCCCCTTCTATCATTAAGGATGGCCCCTATAATTTGATTATTTCAGGAAGGCAGCTCATACAAGGGAATTGTATATAGCCTAAAGCCACCTGCTGCATTCAGCACAGAACAATTATATTCAAATAAAGAATAAACTTAACTTTAAAAAGCAGTCTGTGTGCCAAAAATATCACGGTACTTAATCTAGAAATTGTGAACATCAGAACTGGGATGGGAAAAAATTTCTTAGGCCTTATGTAAAATAAAAGAATTATATATGTGTATATGTCTATCTGGAAGGAGGGGCCCTCATTAACAGAGGGATGGAAGGAAAGCACAACACTGAGTGAAGCCACTTACCCTAAGCTGTACTGATCAGGCTCCATCACGGTCCGCCTCTCCATCCTGCCCACACCCAGGTTTGTCTCCACGATGCTGACAGAATGCCGCTGGCGCCGCTCGTCGTGCAGTGAGACTGGCACCGAGTCAAAAGAAGAATTGCTGACAATACTGGATCGTGAAGAAATTTCACTGTGACCAGAATCTGAAAAATTATCCACAGTCCCACTGGGAGCCAAAGTATAACCTGCAGGAGAAACACAACCATGTGCATTAGACACTCGAGGCTTAGAGCATGAAATGGAAGCCTACCAAACAGAAGCCAAAATAAAATGCAGGCACAGACATCGCCACTGAAGTGGGTGACTTGGAGAGGCCAGGTGGCTTAAATTTTTTGTACTCTAATGAAGTTTAAGTTGCTTAATCAAAGTTTAGAGAAGAAAAATGAGAACATTATTATACAAATGAAGACAAGATGCAGAAATCATAGTACTACTTAACTTTTCTTAGCTTCCCTCGTTATAAATTACACTATTATTAGTATATAAAAGAAACCACAAAGAAAAACTGACCAGATTTAAAACTATGTTTTTCCCCAAACTGCAAACAAAGCCAGTGATCTTGTTTTCAATTTTTAGAGCTTTAAATACGGCATAGAATAACTGAGCTGGAAATATCTGTACTACTTATAATTTTAAGGGGACATATAAACAAACAAACAAACAAAAAGAAGAGATGAAGAAGATGTCTTTGGATTTTTGCCATTTGGTTTTTCAATATTAAATCAATATTAGTGGAATCACATAAAAGCTAATTGTTTTGAAGGATGTAATGTGCACCTTGCCCCAGATCATTACTTTAAAATGTCTAAACAGATGTCTATTTCTTGACCTAAAATGACTCTTAATTCTCCTTTGTTACTAAAAAATAACTTTGAAAGTTATAACGAAAGAGGCTTGTCTTAATATTTTTAATGAAAAAAATCTAAATATTTTTCCTCAATACGTTTTCCCCTGTGTACTACTAAGGATCTCATGTTAAACATCAATTTTATCTGATTATATGCAATGCAAATTTTTTCAATGCCACTTACCTAAAAAAAAAATTAAATCTAGAACATTTGAATGTTTCTAATTTAAGTATGTTCTCATCCTTTCAGTAAATTGGTAATTCCTGATTTACTTTTTAAAGGCTGCACAGGTCTTGATAAGATTTAATGTGCTCACTTATGAAATGTCTTTTTATAAACCACATTGCAAGTTCTGACAGGCAAGATTTAAAGCCTTCCCTAAATGATCTGCTCAAAAGAAAAAAAAAAAATCTCCAGAAAAATAATCACTCAGAGGGAACCCTTGACAATTGGAGGAATTCTCTCATTTTCTGTAACTAATGAGATGATTCCTCTCTTTCCCACCCCGTTTTTGGTTCTATAAACCCCACCTATCCCATAGGTCCGTGGTGCATTGTTATTCTTGTTACTGTTCTCACTTCCAAGAGAAGAGGAGGAACTGGTTAAGTCCAACTGCCCGGAGCCAAAAGATCTCAGCTGATTGCCACTGCCACCTGACAACAGGATGAGAAAACAATTTAGATACGTCCATATAACAAGGATGGCAGAGACTGATACCCACACAAAATGCACAGATGTCTGAAATGTCCACAAAGTAAAGCAGTATTGTTTGTCAGTTAAATCTTAACAATTTATTAACCCTTCTGGCCTTCCTCTCGGGAAAATGAAGTCTTTGCCACTTACTACTGGCTCAGACCCACTCAGTGAAGGGAAAGGAGCAGGAGGCCACCTGGACAGTCATGCAGTGGAAACTGTCTACTCTTTTAATATGAGAAAGTATCAACATGAGGAGACTTCGATCATCTCAAATGGAGTCTTTTTGGAAATAAAGTAAGGTAGCAATAAGAAAGGTAATCAAGACCCGTGTTAATACAATGAAAAAATAAATCAGGAAGATATTAGTTTTCATGTTTTTTAAGGCCTTTTTTTTTGAGATAAAGTTTATGTTGCCCTCGGTAGAGAGCTGGGGTGTCACAGCTCACAGCAACCTCAAACTCTTGGGCTCAAGTGATTCTCTTGCTTCAGCCTCCCAAGTAGCTGGGACTGCAGGCACCTACAAGACCCTTGGCTATTTTTGGTTGTAGTTGTCATTGTTGTTTGGCAGGCCTGGGCCAGATTCAAACCCACCAGCTCCGGTGTATGTGGATGGCGCCCTAGCCACTGAGCTACAGGCGCTAAGCCTAAAGCCCTCTTTTCTGTTATATAACCAAATTTAGTCAGAAACAATTTCAATGTAAAAATAATTCTTTTCATACTTATAACAAAAGTAAATGTATTTTTTAAAAAGTTTTATATGGTTACATATTTAACATATTTAATATTATGTACAACATTAGACAATACCAGGAATCTTCCAAATTTATAAACTGAGGGAAAAGAAGCCATTGGACAGTATATAAGAGACACCCTCTTAAATGACTATATTACTAAAAACTCTGCAATGCCTAACTCTGGAATTTATGGCACCTGGAGTATATACATTTCAAGAAAGGAAAACAGTCAGTGACTTAGCTCTACCTTTCCTTGGAGAGCTCTGTGGGGAAGTGGGAGGGGAGGAAAGCTGTGATGACGCATTTGATATCGTGTCTTCAGCTTGCTTCCGGTGGCGTTCCAAACTTCCTTCTTCAGATAAAGAAAGAATTTTCTTTAAAGCTTGTGGAGAGTTTATGCCTTTAATAGAAAGAAAAGAACCTAAATCCAGTTGAACTCCATAGTTGACCACTTCCCTACACTTCCCACTGCCTTAAGTTACCCTAAGTTTGGCTCAGCACCTGTGGCTCAAGGAGCTACAGCGCCAGCCATGTACACCTAAGTTGGCGGGTTCGAATCCAGCCAGGGCCGCCAAACAACGACCAATGACGGCTGCAACCAAAAAA